AGCTGTCGCACGGTTAGGTTGCGTTACCGCAGCAGCAGGTGGCAGCACCATCCATAGCCTGTATCTGTGATGGGTATTGGGGCAGCCATGTACATGTGACGCACATAGAGGGCAGCACGTACACTTGTGATTGATAAAGAGGGCAGCACGCGTATCTGTGATGGACATGGGGGGCAGCACATGTATCTGTGATGGACATACGGGGGCACACGTGTACCTGCGAGACCCACTGGTCGTCGTCGCCCTGTCTGAAGGCGACGCTCTCGTGCCGATCCGTGATGAGAGAGGGCCGCCACTGCTCGACGTTCGCCGTGGCAATGCTGCGACAAACAAACAAGCGAACGTTAGCAGAGCTGGGTTGGGGGTTAGCATATTACAGTTGAGTTCAATTAGCAGTTAAGTTGGCATTTAAAGTGAGGATTAGGGTTGGGGTTAGGATTAGGGTGTGGTTAGTGTTAGTGTTAGTGTCCAGGGTTAGGGTTAGAATTTAGTGTTAGTGTCAGGGATAGGGTTAGTGTTTGGTGTCAGGGATAGGCGTAGCATTAGGGTTAGCAGGTTAGGACAGCAGAGTGAGAGACCCCAGGTGAGACAGACAGAGTGAGAGACACAGAGGTGAGAGACACCAGGTGAGAGAGCAGAGTGAGAGACACACAAGTGAGAGACAGAGTGAGAGACACCAGGTGAGAGAGCAGAGTGAGAGACACCAGGTGAGAAAGCAGAGTGAGAGCACCAGGAGAGGGCAGAGTGAGAGGACACAGGTGAGACACCAGGTGAGACGACACCAGGTGAGAGAGCAGAGTGAGGAGTAAGTAGTAGTGTAAGACTCACCTGTCCACAGCCTGTAGAATCTCCTCCTAGCAGCGGGTTCGTGCTGCTGATGGGCATGGCAGCTCCGGGCTCGACGGCAGCCGATAGATGAGCCACTGACACCTAGAACACACCGACGCAGAACATGTTACAGCATGTCACGCATGTTACAGCATGTCACGATGTTCAGCATGTCATGGCATGTTACAGCATGTCATGGCATGTTTACAGCACTGTCACCGCATGCTACAGCAGTGTCACGGCATTTATACATGTACATGTATATGTACATTCCCACATACACACATATACATAAACATGTCAACTCCAAACAAAACGAACAACAACAAAACCACGACGAAAAAACAATATGATAAAACAAGCGAACTGTCGCGCGACAGGTGGCAGCTTTGAGTCGCCGCGGACGACGATGGAGTACGGCAGCTGGGACGGCGGCGACCACCCGGCGCCCGGGACGTCCGCCGACAACAACATGGAGGAGCGACTCTGCGAGAGACTCGCCGACGCCATGAACGACGGTCCCGGACGCGAGGGAGGCCCCGCCAGCTGTGGTGAGTGTACCGGCGCCCCCTGGTGGTGTCCCGGACGCGAGGGAGGGTCCGCCAGCTGCGGTGAGTGTGCCGGCGCCCCCTGGCGGCTCTGCCGGCTGCGCAGGTTAGAATCGGGTGGATGTCAGTTTTGCGATTTTTTACATAATTTTTTCTCCGGATGCGATGGGGGGCCCGCCAGCTGCGGTGAGTTGACCAGCGCCCCCTGGCGGCGCCGCGGGCAGTGGCGCTGCCGGCCCTGCGGGTTAGAATCGGGTTAATGTTGGTTTCCACTTTTTGGGGTCACGCAGGTATGAAAATGAAGATAATGTGAAACCAACCTGGAATTTATTTTTCGGAAGCAGATTGACCGGAAATCTTATGCAGAATATACAGATGATAGCTTCTCCCAATTTCTTTCTCTTTATCTCTTTTTTCTCTTCATTTCTCTCCCTCTCTCTTTCTCTGAGAGAAAGTGATCATTCCTATATCCATGTCTTCTTTGTAAAATTAACCAATAGTCGGGTGTGGAAATAAGGAGAAAAAAAGAGATGTTCCACAGGACCATCTAGTTTGAAATTTAGATGGTCCTCTTAAATTTTAGATGGTCCTCCTAAATTTCAAATTGTTCTCTAAAAGTAATGTGGCGTGCAAGCGTAAGAAAGAGATTTTACATGGTGATAAAATGGAAATTATTCACCTACAATGAATGTATCAAACGATACAGTAATAGTTTATTCACTTTAATAGTATATTGGTTAATAAAGTTGTTTTAGTAGAATTTAGTTGAACCCATAACTGTTCGGTCCGTCGGACCATTGACTTTGAAAATCTGATGGTCCTCCTGATTATTTGATGGCTCCGGACCATCGGACCATCGCTTATTTCGACCCCTGCTAGTTCATGTCTACAATTCTTCATGTCTACGTAACTCTAATTGTAATTTCTTATTGTTCTCCTATGATGCATGAGTAGTTTAACTGTCGCCATGACAACGTCGTAGCAGCACCGCCGCAGCTGTGTTGTCATAGTACCACATGTGCTGTGGTTGTTGGTCATCTAGTTTGTTAGTTTCTTAATTAAGTAGTTAGTTAGTTAGTTAATTAGTTTGTTTGTTAGTTTGTTTATCTGTTAGTTTGTTTGGTAGTTAATAGTCTGTGTGGCTGCTAGTGGGATACATTAGTTTGCATGTTTGACTGACTCTTCAAACAGATGGTCTATTTTTGGTGTCTTCTCTCTAGTCACTGGCGTCCTCTGGTGGCAGATTTACCGAACGCACGGCTCATTCGATGCCGCGTCGGGTCGCCACCGTTCTCTTGTTTTTCTCTCTGTTTACATCGTTCTGGCAGCATCTATCTGCAATCTGACAGCTGTGCTGCCACCGTGTGTAGTCGTTTGGCGATGATGCCTTCCTTTCAGCTCCGTGAACTCTTGCTTTGTTGGTGTCCGACGAACTATTTCAACTCTCTAGCGACTTGTTCTGTTGTCTCTGCCGTAACTTACTCTCACTGTAATGTGCTGCCTTCTGGTGGTGAGGGCAGGAAACAAACCTCGAGGTCACGTCACTGATAGATAGATTCACGCATCTTGCGCAATCCTGTCATAGTATTACGCTGAGCGCAAGGGTAGATGTTATTTCTTACGAGTTCTCACTCGTCTCTCATGCCCCCGCCCCCTCGAGTCTCCAACACGCGGTTAGCAAACAGACGTTCTCTTGGTTGTTTGGCAGAGAGCGGCCATCGAGCGAGCTGCGACGTGTGCGCATTTGATGCAGAGTCCGGGGCCCCGCGCACCATGGAACATGTATTAGTGTTTCCGAACGGAAGCAACTCAGATTCGCCGTGAGGTACGTGTGGGACGAGGGATGCTCTGCTGCCGCGCGGCGGGACGAGGGATGCTCTGCGGGACGAGGGATGCTCTGCTGCCGTGCGGCGGGACGAGGGATGCTCTGCTGCCGTGCGGCGGGACGAGGGATGCTCTGCTGCCGTGCGGC